TTTTTATATATATATATATATATATATATATATATATATTACCATACCTACCAACTTTTACGCATTAGGCGTAAAGTTTTATTTTCATATTTAAAGTGGTAGTAAATATATACTACTTTTTTCTTTCATAAACTTAATTTTTAAATGAATTTAATCACCACTATTCTTGAAAAAATTAAGCATATATATAAATACGTGTTACTATCATGGTTGTCAGCTTAAGCTTTTTCAAATATAACGTACTTTTATTTGCTTCAAATTGAAATTTTAATTCCACTTTAATACCACTGGCAAAAATCGTAATGGAAGAGATTAAAAATTGGCAGGTATGATACACACACACATATATATGTGTGTGGTTACTAACTGGTTACTCTACTTTTTAATAGAGTAACCAGTAGATTGATGCTTTAACGTTGCATTTTATATGATACTTATAATTTTTGATAGTTAGTGGTGAAAAAATTACTTAAAATGAAAAATATTATACTAAAAGTAACTTAAATTTCGCTACCATTGGAAAATAATATTTTACAAAAACACTATTTTACATCTCTGTATATAAAAACACGTTACATACCTGCCAACTCTTCGGATTTTCCGGAAGATTTTATTTTCATATTTAAAGTGGTAGTAAATATATACTATTTTTTCTTTTATAAATTTAATTTTTAAATGATTTTGATCACCACTATTCTTACAAAAATTAAGCACATATATGAATATGCGTTACTATCATGGTTGGGAACTTAAGTTTTCTCAAATACAACGTATTTGTTTGCTTAAAATTGAAGTTTTAATTCCATTTTAATACCACTGGGAAAAATTATAATGGAAAGGATTAAAAGTTGGCAGGTATGACTTTATATAATTCAGACTTAGTGCTCTTTTTGCATGGCCACTTATTAAAAAAGCTGCAGATGAAACGAAATTTTTAAAATTATCCACCACTTTTATATTTTCCTACTTTTTGCAGCTTGTTATTCTTTAAAAATTATTCCATTAATTTATGATAAAGTTAAGGTTGAGAAATCAAAATTTTAAGCATATTTTTCTCTTTTTTGAATTCTAGTCTATACGTTTTGACTTGATGATGACATCGCGATGGACCGACTATCGGCTTTTATTTCCCAATCCTGAAAAATCGAAAGTAGTATTGGACATTGACTGGAGAAAAAGAATTTGGACTCCTGATTTGTTTTATGAAAATTCTATAGAAGGTCACGTACAAAACACAATTATACCAAATATGTACTTATGGCTATTTAAGAATAAAACTATACAATTTACAGCCAGGTAAGAAACGTTTCTACTATTTAATATAATAAGTATTTATTTTATGTATATATATTAAATATTTAAGACTTCATTATTATTTTGATTATACTAATATAAGAGCACAATCTAGGGGAGACAGAGGCTAGTGTCAAGACTTTTTATAACTTTGACAAAAAACTTACTAATTATTATTTTGAATATATCCTGTCTTTTTTATTAATTGAAATTTGAACGCTTATCTTTATTTTAAATGATATATTAGTCAGTTTAGATGTACAATTTTTTAATTTTTTTTAAAAAAAAAATTGTTTTTCGTTTTGCTTGCCCCACATCACGTGACAAGTGTGGATAGTTTATGTGGTTAGGTGTGGATGCGTCTTAAAACTTATTTTTTAATCTATTTAAAGAAAATAGAACTAAAATTGAACTAAATTTAGTTTAAAAATACTGTCTTGAGTTCTTTATCTTAAAAATCATTATTATAACTGACCCTCCAATTACTAAGAAATTTTCATAATTTCAGAAAATATTTTTCCCAATGGGAGCAAAAGTAATGTATTAATATTTTTATAAATCTAAATTAAAAAAATTTCGTTCACCTATGTGCTCAAATAATTTAAATAAAAAAATAAAGGTCAGATAGACGAGTGCTTTAAGTTTTTAAGTTCTATTAACCATTTTTATAAATTTTGTTCGTTTCAAAAAATTCTGCCTTAATTTATGTAACTGTAATAAATAATTCACAACAGCTGCAAATTTTAGACAGTCTGTAATAATAGTGGAAAACAAAAGTTTGAACATTTAATAAACTTGTGGCCGCAATAATTTCAAATTAATAATGAGTATTTATTTATTAAAACAATCATATTTCGAGAATCATTGAAAGATATTGAACATAAGTTTCAGGTTATGCGACATAGCGAAATAGTCGGAACATCATATTAAAAATTAAAAAGTAGGATGAATTTTTTAAGTTAACTTTTTTTAAGTTATTAAATCAAATACTAAACTCTACAAGAGAGTGTTATAGCTATGCGAAGATAGCCCCCGAAAATGAGGAAATTCAAAAATTCAAACTGCATTCGTTTGACCATTTTTTGACCACAAATGACCACCTTTTAAATTTTTTTGACCACCCTTATTTTGGACATAATCCTGAAAATTAAATTCGGGGGCTAACTTCGCATTTTCACGCCAAATGAATAAAAATCAAATTTTTATATTGTATTCGTTTGACCACTTTTTGACCACAAATGACCACCCTTTAATTTTTTTTGACCACCCTTATTTTGGACACAATCCCAAAAATTAAATTCGGAGGCTAACTTCGCATTTTTNTACAGCCAGGTAAGAAACGTTTCTACTATTTAATATAATAAGTATTTATTTTATATATATACATTAAATATTTAAGACTTCATTACTAGGGGAGACAATCTAGGGGAGACAGAGGCTAGTGTCAAGACTTTTTATAACTTTGACGAAAAACTTACTAATTATTATTTTGAATATATCCTGTCTTTTTTATTAATTAAAATTTGAACGCTTATCTTTATTTTAAATGATATATTAGTCAGTTTAGATGTACAATTTTTAAATTTTTTTTTAAAAAAAAGTTGTTTTTGGTCACGCTTGCCCCACATCACGTTACAAGTGTGGATAGTTTATGGGGCTAGGCGTAAACGCGTCTTAAAACTTATTTTTTAATCTATTAAAAAAATATAATTAAAATTGAACTAAATTTAGTTTAAAAATACTGTCTTGAAAACTTAATCTTAAAAATCATTATTATAACTGACCCTCCAATTACTATGAAAATTTCCTAATTTCAGAAAAGTAATGTATTAATATTTTTATAAATCTGAATTAAAAAAATTTCGTTCACCTATATGCTCAAATTATTTAAATAAATAAATATAGGATCAGATAGACGAGTGCTTTAAGCTCTTAATTTCTATTAACCATTTTTATAAATTTTGTTCGTTTCAAAAAATTCTTCTATAATACATGTATCTGTAATGAATAATTCGCAACAGCTCCAGATGTTAGACAGTCTGTAATAATAGTGAGAACCAGAAGCTTGATCATTTAATAAACTTGTAGCCGTAATAATTTCAAATTAATAATGAGTATTTATTTATTAAAACAATCATATTTCAAGAATCACTGAAAGATAATGAACATAAATTTTAGGTTATGAGACATAGCGAAATAGTCGCAACATCCTATTAAAAATAAAAAAGTCAGATAAATTTTTTAAGTTAACTTTTTTTAAGTTATTAAATCAAATACCAAACTCCACAAGAGAGTGTTATTTTTAAAATAAAGTAAATCTTAAAAATTTAACGACTGACAGTAAGGACTTTTAAAAGAAAAAAAAAGGCCGGGATAGTCTGGTCGGCAGGGCGCTGGGCCCATGTCCGAGAGTTCGTGGGTTCGAACCCCGCCGGCCGATGATTCCCCCTGTAGTAAAGTGACTGATGCACGTTAAATCTGTCGAGTCGCAAAATTCCTCCATGTTCCCATAACAAATCAATGCCTCTGGGGATACTGGATTGGAGATCGATCGTTCTCTGATTCAGGTTAAAATTACGATCTGTGGATGAATGAATGGATGCATGAATGGGTCCACCCTATAAACGGGTGCGACGTATGGTGTAACAGAAGTCGAATTTCTTGGTCATAGATGGCGCCACTGGAAAAACAAGAACAATAGCACCCCTTCTGCCTAAACAGGCATATGTCAACAACAACAAAAACAACAAAAGAAAATATAAGAACTGTTAAATGTTATCATTATTGCAAAAAATTAAAAATTAAAATATTTTCACCCTCATATGTATATAAAATAAAAGCAACAGTAAATCGGAGTTTTTTTTGAAAATTAAATAATGAAAGAGAGAATTCAGTTTATTTCTTAAATAAAATATTATTTTTCATGCATGAAACTTTTGTGTCTTAATGACTGTATTTTAAGCACATTTCAATAATAATAATATCACATTTTATAAAAATTTCAATTCTTGTCCTAAAATGGGTTAAGGTTTATTGTGATTTATTTTAGAGCAGTGTCAAAAATATTTTTGCTTAATTAAGCCATGTATTCGTCGATTTTAATATTTTCAATCTGTTTTAGATGTTTTTTAATAAGACAGTAGTCTTATTAACCTTTTCGGGACAGGTGAGTCATAAATATATTCGTATGGAATCAAAAACAGGATGGAAGAAAATAAAAAGCGGTAGCTTAAGTTTGGGCATGACTAATTTCCTTATTCTAAATTTATTTTCGTTTTCACTTTAAATCTAATACATCCAGTCTATGTTTGTTAAAAATGTAACTATATAATTTTTAATTTGAACTAAGCCTTGGTGATATTAATAAACATAACTATTATTACCCCCCCCCCACAAATAAACTGCAATAAAAATAGTTAGGCTATCAGTTTTATCTTTTTTGCTGTGATTGTCGCCACCCTGAAAATGCATATATGACTCGTCCGTCTCGAAGAGGTTAACACGCTGAATGCCACGCTAATTTTACATGGCTCACCCGTCTGGCCACACGGTAAATAACTAAAAACTAAATTTGCAGTTATTTAGACAGATTTTGCTAGTTTTTTTAAAAGGTTTAGCCCGACATATCTAAAAAAAGTGGTAAATTATATAAGCTAACGAATTGTTTAGAAATAGTGGTGGATAAAAATCTACTAAATTGAATTTATTAAACCAAGAATCACAATTAATAAACTATCACTTGAAAATATTTATTCGCTGTCCGGAACAAGTGGGCATCTCTGTGTATATAAATAAAACTATTTTTGTGTGATCCATATTGCATTAATTTCTCCAAACCATTTTAGTAACGATAATAATAAATAAAAATTAAATATTTACTCGAATATCTAATAATCTTGGCTTCACCGGTGACCCCCGTGGAGCTACGAACAAACTCAGTGCCTGTCACCGGTGACCTCCATGGCATTCAGCGTGTTAACGGAATGACACAGTAATGCAATGTTACTAACGTTTAATTCTTTTCAGAGTTTCTATCGAGTTCAGCTGTCAAATGGACCTTAGACTTTTCCCTCACGATACCCAAGAATGTGATCTGATTATTAAAAGTTGTAAGTTGAATGTTTGCATATATATTTCAAACAATGCAAAAAATGTCACATAGAAAACAAAGGAAGTAGAATAATATATTTTTTCTTGAAAGTTTTGGTAGAATTGAAATTTTTAAAATTCTTGCTTACTTAATTATTATCACTATAACATACCTGCCAACTCTTCCGGATTTTCCGGAAGATTTTATTTTCATATTTAAAGTGGTAGTAATTATATACTATTTTTTCTTTTATAATCTAAATTTTTAAATGATATTGGTCACCACTATTCTTACAAAAATTAACCACAGATATTAATATGCGTTACTATCACGGTTGTCAACTTAAGTTTTCTCAAATACAACGTATTTGTTTGCTTAAAATTGAAGTTTTAATTCCATTTTAATACCACTGGGAAAAATGATAATGGAAGGGATTAAAAGTTGGCAGCTATGCTATAACTTTATATACTATGAAGAGCTCTTCTAGATAGTTCTGTCATTTTACCTAGGAAGTTTACATGCTATAATTTGTAGTGATGTTAAGGCATTTGTAACACACAGCCTGAAGAATTTTTAATAATGGTGGTGAATTCACGTTAATGCTAGCAGGAATTGATTTCTTAAGATACTATTTCATCGTTTACATGTTTGAAGAGCGTAATCCCTTAACGCACAGATTTTTCGAAAAAAAAAACCGTCCAAAAAAATATTATTTTTTTACGTAAGAAAACACACTTCAGAACATCGTCTTTTCTTTTGGTGAACAATTTTTATATACTGCGCTTTTTTTCCATGGAAAAAGGCTATATTCAGAGATGCCAACTGCTCCGGACACTGCGAAATAATTAAAAACAAAGGTAAATAACTACTAAGTTAATTTTGCAAATAGTTGACTATTTTTGCCTTCTTTTTAAAATGACATGACATAAGTACTATAAATTGGTGAATTATGTAAGCCTACGAATTATTTAGAAATAGTGGTGGAGAAAAATCTACTAAATTTAATTTATTAAACCAAGAATCACAATCAATAAACTACCACTTGAAAATATTTATTCGTTGTTCGGAGCAAGTAGGCATCTCTGTATATTTAATTCTTGAATAAATAAGTGTTATAGCTCACAATCCTATGTAAATGATAAATATCGATAAAGCGATTTTTTTTTCTTAGCTTTCACATTGTTATTTTCAATTCTCGATTTTATTCGAGTGTGAAAAATTATAGCAGCTTAAAATACAACGCCGCTCGAATTATCTCGAGTGTGCACAGTTTGGCCTGTGTAGCGCGCTCGAATTAACTCGAGCACACAAGTTAAGGGGTTAATGCAGGGAAGCTACGGGCTACTAAAATTGTAAAAAGTAGTTGAAACTTTGTAAATTTTTAATTATTTATAATCCCATAATTTTTTAATTGTATTTTACCACCATTTTTCTTAATATTTCAAATTACTCATTTTTAAAGCTAAAACATGCTTTGCATTCGCCTTCATTAGTAAACTGAAAAAGTATGCTATAAAAACCTTTTTAAATTAAGAATGTTGTAAGTCACAACATCTTGCATTTTTAGTCGCCCGTGGCAACTCCGTTAATGGATGTGAATACGCAAGTGACTATTCAGGGATATTAATGAAGCAGAGAAAAAGGCAAAATGAAGTCGCATCAATATGGATATGTTTAATTCAGGCCTACCAAGGGGGGTCTACGTATTTCCTAAATATTATAAAGATTGCTGGCAATAAAGACACAAAGTTTTTGGATTTTGAGTAACTTTGGCAAAATTGAACTTTCTGAACTTTGGCAATCTGAACTTTGGCAAAATTTTGAAAACCTCACCTCGGAAGAACAGGAAAAAGTGGCGTTTTATATGAACTTCTGAATCATTTACATGTAGTGGTGTGGAAAACAGGGCGGTCAACTGTCTACAATTTTTGTAAAAATTTATTCTAGTGGTACCTAAGTTTATATTTTAATGTATTATTTTTCATTCGTATGAAATTATTTTTCACGCCACTGCACATAAATTATTTAAAAGTTCATGAACTACAACTGGAATTATTTTTATTCCAAATTTTGGTTGTAGTAAATAAAATAACGCAAAGAAATATTAGTCTTAGTCCCACCTTCTAATAAATCTATAATAAAATATCTACTTTTTATGCTACGTTTTCTTCTTTCTCTGATTGTGGCTACTTAAAGAATGTCACTTACCTGGTTCAATGATCTCTTTAAATATGCAATCTTGTAAAAAGTGAAATCGAGAAATCTATCGTGCTATACATATATTTAAACCAGTGATGATCTGTGTGCTTAATAATTAAGTTAAAAGTGAACAATAAAAGTAAAAATCTGTTTAACGAGATTAAAATCAGTCGCATATATCTTTAATATTTCTACGTCTATCTTTATTTTATTTTTAATTTGAATCAAATTTCAAAATGGCTTCCTAGTTGTAGCTTTAACGCGAAAATTATTTTCGCAAGAACTTTCTTATTGAGAACTTTTTTATAAAAAAATTTCATGAAAATCTTCGACTTGACGGCAACGAGATTTTTTTTTAAATTTTGGTCCGTTTCACTTGGAATGAGTCAAATATATTTCGCTCTTAACTCAAATATTAGAAGGTATCTAATTCAATACGATAGTATGCTTTCAGGTCTGCCAATTTTCTGCGCTTTTTGTGTAAAAATTTATTCTAGTGGTAGCTATGTTTACATTTTAATGTATCATTTTCTATTCACTTAAGCTTATTTTCCGAACCACTACAAATAAATGATTTAAAAATTCATGTGCATCTCCACTTTTTTCCAGATCCTTCGTCGTGAGGCTTTTTGTGTGATGGCAAAATTACCGAAACTTCTGAAAGCTTTGCTTTTTAAATCTCTACTACTCTATAAAATATTTTGCAAAAAAGCAGTTGTCAGGCCTGTGCTTTAGCTTTGGTAAAATATAAAAACACTGCTAGGCTACAATTGTAACTTAATTATCATTTTACGGACACTGGAAGAAAAAACATCCATACTAGCCAACTTTTACGCATTTGGCGTAAAACTTTATTTTTATATTTAAAGTGGTAGTAAATATATACTATTTTTTCTTTTACAAACTAAATTTTTAAATGAATTTCATCACCACTATTCTTTAAAAAATTAAGCATATATATTAATATGTGTTACTATCATGATANAATAACTACTAAGTTAATTTTGCAAATAGTTGACTATTTTTGCTTTCTTTTTAAAAGGTATAGCATGACTGACATAAGTACTATAAAGTGGTGAATTATGTAAGCCTACGAATTATTTAGAAATAGTGATGGATAAAAATCTACTAAATTTAATTTATTAAACCAAGAATCACAATCAATAAACTACCACTTGAAAATATTTATTCGTTGTTCGGAGCAAGTAGGCATCTCTGTATATTTAATTCTTGAATAAATAAGTGTTATAGCTCACAATCCTATGTAAATGATAAATATTGATAAAGCGATTTTTTTTTCTTAGTTTTCACATTGTTATTTTCAATTCTCGATTTTATTCGAGTGTGAAAAATTATAGCAGCTTAAAATACAACGCCGCTCGAATTATCTCGAGTGTGCACAGTTTGGCCTGTGTAGCGCGCTCGAATTAACTCGAGCACACAAGTTAAGGGGTTAATGCAGGGAAGCTACGGGCTACTAAAATTGTAAAAAGTAGTTGAAACTTTGTAAATTTTTAATTATTTATAATCCCATAATTTTTTAATTGTATTTTACCACCATTTTTCTTAATATTTCAAATTACTCATACTTAAAGCTAAAACATGCTTTGCATTCGCCTTCATTAGTAAACTGAAAAAGTATGCTATAAAAACCTTTTTAAATTAAGAATGTTGTAAGTCACAACATCTTGCATTTTTAGTCGCCCGTGGCAACTCCGTTAATGGATGTGAATACGCAAGTGACTATTCAGGGATATTAATGAAGCAGAGAAAAAGGCAAAATGAAGTCGCATCAATATGGATATGTTTAATTCAGGCCTACCAAGGGGGGTCTACGTTTTTTCCTAAATATTATAAAGATTGCTAGCAATTAAGACACAAAGTTTTTGGATTTTGAGTAACTTTGCCAAAATTTTGAAAACCTCACCTCGGAAGAACAGGAAAAAGTGGCATTTTTTATGAACTTCTGAATCATTTACATGTAGTGGTGTGGAAAACAGAGCTGTCAACTTTCTACGATTGTCGTGAAAATTTATTCTAGTGGTACCTAAGTTCATGTTTTAATGAAAATATTTTCTAAATTATTTTTCATTCATATGAAATTATTTTCCACGTCACTACACATAGATTATTTAAAAGTTCATATACAACACAACTTTGTTTCAGCTCCTTCGTCGCGAGGCTTTTAAGATGTTGGCAAAATTACTAAAAATTCTGAAAGCTTCGGCTTTTAATTGCCCACCACTTTACAAAATATTTTGCAAAAGGCATAATAGTTGGCATTTTTGGGAAATAAACCGTTAACTCAAATCTGCGAAGCAAAGAATCATACCATAAAACATAAACTTAGCTACAGCTAGAAGAAATTTTTCCAAAAAAAAAAAAAAAAGCTCTGAAAGTTGGTAGACTTGTGAATGTAAAAGAGTTGTTTTTATTTTAACTTAAATTTTAATATATCTAATCCGCCTTTGTTGGGAGTATGCTGGAATGATTTTTATTTCAAATTAGGTTGTGGTACATAAAATAAACCAAAGAAATATTAGCCCCACCTTCTACTAAATCTATAATAAAATATCTACTTTTTATGCTACTTTTTTCTTCTTTCTCTGATTTCGGCTACTCTAGGAATGTCACTTACCTGGTTCTTCCAATGATCTCTTTAAATATGCAATCTAGTTAATAGCGAAATCGAGAAATAAATCGTGCCATACATATTTTTTTATCAGTGATGATCCGTATGCTTAATAAATACGTAAAAAGTGAACAATAAAAGTAAAAATCTTTTTAACGAAATTAAAATCAGTTACATATATCTTTAATATTTGTACATATATCCTTATATTTTTATCTATATCTTTACATTTTTAATTTGAATCAAATTTCAATATGGCTACCTAATTATAGCTTTAGTTCAACAATTATTTTAGCAAGAACTATCTTATTGCGAACTTTTTGAATCATATTCAATATGGCTACCTAATTATAGCTTTAGTTCAACAATTATTTTAGCAAGAACTATCTTATTGAGAACTTTTTGAATCATATTCAATATGGCTACCTAATTATAGCTTTAGTTCAACAATTATTTTAGCAAGAACTATCTTATTGAGAACTTTTTTATAAAAATTTTTCATGAAAGTCTTTGACTTGACGGCAATGAGATTTTTTTATTTTGGTTGGTTTAACTTGGAATGAGTCAAATATATTTCACTCTAAACTCAAATATTGAAAAGTATGGAATTCAATACGATAGTATGCTTTCAGGTCTGCCAACTTTCTACGCTTTTCGTAAAAGTTTATTCTAGTGGTAGCTACGCTTACATTTTAATGTATTATTTTTTATTCATTAAAACTTATTTTCCAAACCACTACAGATAAATTATTTAAAAATTCAAGTCATCAAGTCATCGCCACTTTTTTCCAGCAAAAAACAAAATTACCGAATTACCAATAAAGAAAATTACCGTTGGCAAAATTACCGAAACTTCTGAAAGCTTTGGTTTTTAAATCTCTACTAATCTATAAAATATTTTGCAAAAAGCGTAGCAGTTGACAAGCCAGGGCTTTAGCTTTAGTAAAATATAAAAACACTGCTGGGCTACAATTGTAACTTAATTATCCTTTTACGACCACTGGAAAAGAACATCCCCTGAAAGAACAAAAATTAGCAGGCATAATGCAGGGGCTCCGTTTTTTTCTTCTTTAATCTTTAATGAACTCATGGAACTTTATGGAATGTACGTCATTAGAAATGTCTCAGTGGTTACAAAATTGCAATATTAAATAGACGATAATAAACGTATATTTGGTCAACATAATCACGTATTTAAAAACCTTTGTATTTGATGTAGCTCAATTATTTACTACTAATTCTAGACAAAAAAGCGTTTTGTTTTCTTTTACTGGCACTCCCTTGAACAAAAATTTTAGGCCGATGTAATACATTTAATGAAACATACATCATTTAAGTTTGATATTCTCTTTTTTATAAATGTTGAAGCAATGGCTAAAACAGGAAATTATTCACTACTTAATTCTGAGTTTAACAATAAAATGTCTTCTTTCTGTTATAGAATTATTACTTTCAGTTCGCTTAAAAATATTAGATTTCAGAAAATCTTGATGAACTCATAGTTTGACACATTTAATATTGTTCTCTTTCTAGTGGCACATACAGAAGATGAATTGAAACTTTTATGGGATGAAAACAACAATATCACGCAAGGAGAGCACATAGTTCTTCCACAATTTGAAATTATTAATGTTACAAGTGGTGAATGTAAAAAAAGTAATATTCTATGATTTTCTTATCCTCCTTTTAGTGATACTTATATGTAGAAAAAATATTCCTTAATTTTCTTATTCTCCTTTTAGAGATAATTATATGTAGGAAAAATATTCCGTAATTTTCTTATTTTCCTTTTAGTGATACTTATGTGTAGAAAAAAAATTTCATAATTTTCTTATTCTCCTTTTAGTGATACTTATATGTAGAAAAAAATATTCCATAATTTCCCTATTCTCCTTTCAGTGATACTTATATGTAGAAAAAAAAATTCATAATTTTCTTATTCTCCTTTTAGTGATACTTACAAATAGAAAAAGAATATCAAAAGTAATATCGAATACGACGCTTTATCGGCAGTGAATTTTATTTGACTTTCAACTTAATGTAAGACAAAATGGAAAAGAATGATCGACATTCATTAAGCGCACTGTTTCGATGAGTGCGATGTCTCAACGAATTCATTTTACCTAGTAAAAAGCTTAGAGAGTTGTTGGCTGTCAGAGAGGGTTCAAACACAAGCCGAAATAGCAGAAGCCATTGGAATTTACCAAAATGTGATTTCCTGGATCTGGAACCGCATTCTAGTGACTGGAAATATAGGCCGAAGATCAAAGCAAGGACGCAGACGCGCTACAACACCCAATGAAGACCGTTATTTAATTCTAACAACCTGGAGACACTGAATTATGAATGCCACTCTTCATCAACAACTACTGGCACCACAGTTTTGATACAAACTGGCCGAAACCGCCTTCACGCTGTAGGTCTGTATGCTCACCGATCAATAGTGTCTGCAGCAAAGCACCGCCGTGCAGGGAGTGGGCAACAGAGCACGTGAACTGGAGAAGAAATGAATAGCGCAATATTCTTTTTCTCTGTTTTTTTCTGCTCATTCTGATAATAGACGTATTTTTATCTAGAAGGAACGTGCTACTAGAAAAAATCCTGCGTTCGTGCACGAATGTGCAAGATTTGGAAGAGGGGGAGTTACAGTCTATGTAGGCATCCCCATTGATATACTCCACTGGCATCTCCATTGGCTCTCCATATCATTGGAAATGGAGCTCTGACAGGTCGCAGATATAAAGATGAGGTCCTGAAACTTATAGTAGTCCCTTTAGCTGCAGCAATTGGAGATGACTTCATGTTAATGGACACCAACTGCAAGCCACATCGTGCTAACTTGATCAATGATTTCCTTTTGGAGGGAGGAATCATACGAATGGATTGGTCAGCGCGTTCTTTGGACATGAACCCAATCGAGCATGTTTGGGACATTGACGAACTGCTGGCAGTCTACCACCCCCACAAACTCTTCAAACAAAACTGGAATGAGCTCTTCTGGAGGAGTGGGACAAAACACCCCAGCCAATCATTAATTACCTCATTGACTCGATGCCTCCAAACTGTTCAACGTTGCTGGCTGTCCGGGGAAACCATACCCCCTACTGAAAACGATTTTTTTAATGAAGCACCCTTTTTTATCTACTTTTCTCATATGCACAAATTGTGTTTTTTTTCCTTTTGTTCCCAAATGCCCAATAAAACGCATTTTTTTGTGTCAAACAAATGTCATTTTTATCTAATATAACCTACTACGCCTGTCGATAATGCATCAATCATTCAAACAATTCTCCAGGTTCAAGATCAACCCACAGTTTCAATATAATTTAACTGTTTTGAGCAGTGTATCCTCAATATAGATTAAATGTCAAGCAAATCAATCAATCATTTTAACATATCACTACTAGGTCAGGGGCATTTGACTCGATGCTTTTGACTTTTGTTTTCTCGAAACTTTTTCAACTGTTTTTATTTTTTCAATGATTATAAAAACATTAAAAATACGATTTTTCAGTGTCTTGCAATAATTCCTTCAATTTCATTTTAGATGCCCATTTTTCTTGTTTGAAAGGATCAGTCACAATGACCAGAAGATCTGGATATTACATAACAAATGTGTATGTCCCAACTTGCCTTATAGTATTCATGTCCATGCTGTCGTTTTGGATACCACCAGATGCTGTTCCAGCTAGAGTTACCTTAGGTGTCACCAGTCTTCTGACAATTGTCACAAAACAATATCAAGCTTCACTACCAAATGTATCGTACATAGTAGCACTTAATATATGGTTGTCTGCTTGCATAGGATTTGTTTTTGTTAGCCTGTTGGAATATGCAACTGTTATAGCTTTGCACACAAGGCAAAAATCTGTCTCTAAAATTAAAGCAGCAGCTGTAAGTGAGCAAGTCAAGACAATAAATAAGGTATTATGTTTTAAGAAATTTAAAATGCTAGTCATTTCAAATAATTTAAGCATTTTCGAGTGAGACTGGTACACATTTGCACACCCTCAAATATTTGAGGCTCTCGTAAAATAAAAACTGATACTGAATTAACCGTTTACCTATAGGACTCTTATTTTGCTCTAATGGAAAAAGTGCCTTTATAATAAACGTGGTTGATGGTTTGCATGTAAATTAAATGGAGAGTTTCTTTACTGAGCTACTGATTTTGTTAAAAAAATGTAACAACTATTTGATTTCAAAACAAGATATATGTGACAAAAAATATCCCGCGAAATATTCTCATTGGTAGACGATTCATGGATTAGAGTATTTTTGCAGTCAGACAAACCGTGGAAGGCTTTCGTGTTGTTCCTTTTCATGTAACGCAAATGCAGATTAGTTCCCTTAAAAAGTCCTCATCGAAGACAAATTTCTCCCAATACTTGATCCAGGAGTTCCCTTTTCTTCTGGATTGGGTACAAAATTACAAGGTTACGGAGTTGAATATTAGTAGTCGTAAACCCAAAATTGTGTCGGCTATTCAACGACGGTTACACACACAAACACGCACACACACNTTCTTAACAGATCTTATACTCTCGTAGTGCTGACATCAAATCAGCAATTTATTTCTCTCTCCAAGCTACAGTTCTTACGAAATGACATTATACGCCGCCAGAGGCGCTTCTCTATTATGAGCTGTTTCTCCGTGCGCTTCTCATAAAATTATGAGCAGTTCATAATTAAGAACCACCTCTAGCCACGCACGACTACATCAGAACTGCAGGGCTGCCAACTTTCTATTCTTTTCGTATAAGTTTATTCTAGTGGTAGCTAGGTTTAAGGTTTTAAAAATTTAAATATATAGTTCGATATATTATTTTTTATTCAATCAAACTTATTTTTCACACCACTGCACATAAATGATTTAAATGGTCATGTGCAACGCCAATTTGTTCCAGCTTACTCGTGGTTAGGATTTTAAAATGATGTCAAAATTACAAAAAATTCTGAAAGTTTTGGTTTTTACATGTCTACCACTCTATGAAATATTTTCTAAAACGCATTGTAGTCGGCAGGCCAGGAACTGCTATTGATCCGAAAAGGAGGAAAAAATGGTAATAAGAACGTTCCATTTCTACTTTCTCTCGAGATGCCAACTACTCCTGACGCACCAAAATAATTAAAAAAAACGGTAAATAACTACAAAGTATAGTTTGCAAATAGTTCACCATTTCTGCTTGTTTTTTAAAAGGTACAGCATACCTGCCAACTTTTAATCCCTTCCATTACTATTTTTCCCAGTGGTATTAAAATGGAATTTAAACTTCAATTTTAAGCAAACAAATACGTTGTAGTTGAGAAAACTTAAGTTGACAACCATGACAGTAACACATTAATATATGTGCTTAATTTTTGCAAGAATAGTGGTGATCAATATCATTTAAAAATTAAGATTATAAAAGAAAAATAGTATATAATTACTACCACTTTAAATATGAAAATAAAATCTTCCGGAAAATCCGGAAGAGTTGGCAGGTATGGAACAGTATGACGTAAGTACTATGAAGTGGTGAATTATATAAGCCTACGAATTATTTAGAATTAGTGGTGGATAAAAATCTACTAAATTGAATTTATTAAACCAAAAATCACAATTTATAGACTACCACTTAAAATATATATTTGCCGTCCGGAGCAAGTTGGCATCTCTGAATTCTCCGTGACTACCACTATTTATTAAAGGGCAAAATATTTATATGTATATACTGCATGCATACCCTCCAACTGCTACGGAATTTCCGTAGTTTCAGAAATCTCCTTTTCAGACGGTAGCAAAATTAATGTCTTAATATTTAAAAAAAATTAATTTTAGCGTAACTTGTCCACTATTACTTATAAAAGTGCAGGCCATATGGCTAGATTCTTAAGTTCTGATAAAAGCTTTATGAGAGATCCATTTGCTTTAAAAATTTCTACTTTGGTTCGCTACCACTAGAAAGAACTATTTTCGAAATCCTCATAAGTTGGAGGGTATGTGCATAAGCGCAGTAATTGATAACAACCTGCATAAGATTTTTTTCTCTAAATGACTTGATAGCACATGCATACCCTCCAACTTATGAGGATTTTGAAAATAATTCTTCTACTACGGAACTACGGAAACTACGGAAATTCCGTAGCAGTTGTAGGGTATGCACATATTAACATTCATCAGATGAACAGGTTGGTGGCAGGGCTGAAAGTCAATATATACAGAGATGCCAACTTGCTCCGGACAGCAAATATTATTTTAAACTGGTAGTATATCAATTGTGATTCTTGGTTTAATAAATTCAATTCAGTAGATTTTTATCCACCTCTATTTCTAAATAATTCGTAGGCTTATATAATTCACTACTTTATAGTACTTATGTCATGTTATACTTCTTAATAAGCAAGCAAAAATAGTCAAATATTTGCAAAATTTACTTTGTTAATTACCGTTGTATTTAGTTATTTTGACGTGTTCGGTTTTTTAGTTATTTTGACGCATCTCTGTATATATCAAGACGGAAAAGAATAAAAACTGGTAACAAACAAATTTCATTTTTAGCGTTTTTTCGGGAATAATAAAATACATGTCCTTTTCAAAAAAATCTGTTGCTATGGGAGAAAAATTAATTTCAAATTTAAAATCCTCACACACAAATATTTGTATAAATATAAGAAAACATTTGTTCCTCTGTGTAATCTACGTATTCTTCAACTGTTCCTTAACATTGTTTTTTTTTATTATTTATTTTTTTCCTTATGGATACATTACAACTGTATACTTTTTTGTAACAAACATTGTATACTTTAAACATGTATACTTTTTTGTATACAATCAAATTGGATTAGTGCAAAAGAATTCTAAAATATAGCCTTTAACTCATTGATGCATGTGCACCCTCTAACATTTGAGTTTTTTGCGAAATATTTTTCCGGAGATACTGAACTAAAAAATTTTTTCAGAACAAGNACTTGTTTGTTCAATCTCACTACTTCATTTTAATTTTCTCTCAGTAAAAGATACTGAACCCCAACTTTCACCTTTCAGTTGCGCTTCGGCGATTTATTATTTATTTCCACTCAGATGAATTAGTTGGAGTCTCTAGCGGGGCTGATGCTAAGATAACCAACACATATGAGTATGAGAATGAGTACACCCATCCAAAAAAGCTGTATATATTTTAAAAACACCTATATCAAAAAAGTTAGCACGTATTCCAGGGAAATTTAAAAACTGGTAGAAAAATATCGAAGAATATATTGGTCAAACATATTTGTAAATTAAACATGTGTGTTACAAATGACCTACTTATATCCTAACATTGACGTGAAATTAAAGACAATAAATTTGACATTAAGCTCATTAAAAGTTTAAACTCCACTTTTTAAAAATTTCCCAGAATGTAGTCATTTTGTTATGCCAAGTAGATATTTCTTTCTGTTATCCACCACTAAAACTTTAAAAAAAAACACTACTCCTTAATATAAAATTAAATATAATATTAAATAATAATGCTAATATTAAAATAATTGAGCTAATATTAAAATTTGTATTATTAATATGTAATGATAACGAGAACTATTTTACTTCTGATAATTATATCCTAATAATGAAATAATAGGCATTGTGAAACAACTTTTTTTCCTTTTTAATAAAATGAACTATCCTTTTAATAGGACTAAACGATTAAATAATTTGATTTAACCCTTTAACTACTAACGGGACTCATTTGTCCCAACAAATGTTTAAAAATTACTAATTGGGTGAAAAGCACTTAGAAACTCATTGTAATATGTCCCAGTCGTAGAGTCGAACCAAGTATACGTGTTTTATGTGTTAAATATCCCCTAGATGGCGCTGAAGAGTTTCTTGCATGAAATAGCGTTGTGATTTTGCGCTGGGACAGATATATCCCACTAGTATTCTTCATTGGGACAGATATATCTCACTCGTATTCTTCATTGAGATTGTTATGCTCATTCATATTTTATTCATATTTGCTCAAATGAACATAGAAAAAAGAACAAATATGAGTTGTCCAATGTGTAATGTCGGGTTATGCAAAGATTGCTTCACCCTGTATCATACCATGTGAAAAAAAGTCCATATAATAAATGATAGATGTGCTTGTAGTAAGTCGATCACTTCAGATGGGACATATGTATCCCACCATTAAGTACGGCCAGGACATCTATGTCCCAGCCTCTAAATTGATAACCGCCAGTCAGAAAAATCCCAAATACAAAATTTGACTTATTTGTGACCTATTTTGTCCCTTTTGAATAATAAACGGGACAAAAAAATCATTTTTTAAAAGTCGTAGTCAAAGGGTTAAACTTCGAAATAATATTGTATTTACTGACTTTTTCTTTAAAACTAAAGAATTAAAATTGGGGCATGGAATGCTGTTCTTGAATTTGTGCATCTATTTGTTACATTATTTAGTTTATCTTAATTTTGTAAATTGCATGATAATTTATTGTATTTCATATAACTGTTGTTAATAAATAGCAAACTTAATAACTCTTATATATTTTTTGCAGATATATCCAAGAGAACTCCGTTTTTATCGTAATACTATAACAAATAAGAAATTAAAAAAAGTGGCGTTTTGGGCGAGAATTCTTGACAAAATTACACCAGATAACATTGACTATGCATCCAGAGTGTTATTTCCATGTGTTTTTATTAGCCAGTGCTCAATTTATTGGGCATTGTATTACACACCTTGAGAAAATCTTTTCTAAAATAAATTTTTAGCATATCGTTAAAATGAAGGCCCTAAACAATTTCATGTAAAATAAATTTTTTTAAAAAGTTTGCAGTTGTCTTTTCTATCATCTATCTATATATGTATACATATACAGTCTCTGACCAAATTGTTAGACGTACTCTAAGATTTTATGTAAATTCTTAATTATTAGGAGATACTACACAGCTTTATTGTTATTACTCAACTGAAACCTGTTTGCACTTGTTTACATTCGTCTATCAATTGGTTAAATTAGACGATGTATGATAAAAATTCGACGATTTGATAAACTAGACGATATATTACATAAACATAGAATATTTATTATATCAGGTATTATATTAGTATATTATAGTAATTAGGCCAAATTATTAGACGTTCTCTAAGATTCTATGTAAATTCTTAATTATCAGGAGATAGTACACAGCTTCTTTGTAATTACGCAACCGAAACTTGTTTGCACTTGTTTACATTCGTGTATCAATTGGTTAAATTAGACGATGTATGTTATAAATTCGACGATTTAATAAATTAGACAATATATTATATAAATATGGAATATTTATTACGTCAGGCATTATATTAGTATATTATAATAATTAGGCCAAATTATTAGACGTACTCAAGATTCTAAGTGAATTCTTAGTTATCAGGATACTACACAGCTTTACTGCTATTACGCAACTGAAACCTGTTTGCACTTGTTTACATTCGTGTATCAATTGGTTAAATTAGACGATGTATGATATAAATTCGACGATTTAATAAATTAGACAATATATTATATAAATATAGAATATTTATTATATCAGGTATTATATTAGTATATTATAATACTTAGGCCAAATTATTAGACGCATTCTAAGATTCTATGTAAATTCTTCATTATCAGGAGATACTACACAGCTTAAAAGTTATTACGCAACTGAAACCTGTTTGCATTTGCTTACATTCGTGTATCAATTGGTTAAATTAGACGATATATGATGCAAATTCGACGATTCGAAAAAGTAGGCGATATATTATATAAAAATAGAATATTTATTATATCGGGTATTATATTAGTATATTATAATAACTAGGCCAAATTATTAGACGTACTCAAGATTCTAAGTAAATTCTTAATTATCAGGAGATACTACACAGCTTTACTGTTATTACGCAACTGAAACCTGTTTGCACTTGTTTACATTCGTGTATCAATTGGTTAAATTAGACGATGTATGATACAAATTCGACGATTCGAAAAATTAGACGATATATTATATAAATATAGAATATTTATTATGTCAGGTATTATATTAGTATATAATAATAATTAGGCCAAATTATTAGACGTACTGTAGTTTTCTTAATAATTGCATGTTTTGCACGAGTTTATATGCAGTACTTTTATATTTAAACGTACATGCAATGGGTTTTTATTCAGATTTTTCATATATTTCCTATTTATATTAATTTTTAACTTATTGCATTACAATGTTTACCTATTGATAGACGAACGTAAACAAGTGCAAATCGGTTTCAGCAGTTTAAAAACAATAAAGCTGTATAGTATAGTAACACCTGACAATTAAGATTTTACATAGAATCGTATGATGCGAAAAAACAAAAGTTGTGTTAACCATTAGTTTTTCTTAATTTATCACTGTTCAAAAAATAATAAAATTGAAACAAAATAAAGAAACTAGGTTATGGCTTACAAGCAAAATATAATAGTGGTAACGAATGTGAGACGAATGCGTTCACTATATTTGTAATAATCACTGTTAAATACTTCGTAAAGAAAATATATCTGTTTGCGAGAGCTGGAAGATCTCTGAACGCTAAATTCTACTGGCATTAAAGTGAATTTACTGCCACTGTTAAATTTTTTAGATAACCATAGAAACTCTGCTCAAGCTCATTTGTGACAAAATATGTAATATGCATATTTCTTTATAACATAATATTTCATCAAGTTAACGATCAATAAAGTAGTCTGTAATCGAAATTAAAAAGCAAACTTTTCCCTCATAAAAACAATGCAGTTTTTAGCTCTTCTAATTAATAATAAATTGCTTTGTTTTTTACTAATGAAAGTACAACACAAATTTGCCTATTTGTTAAAATAAACAGAGAAGTTTTAAGTGACAAGTATAAATAACAGAAATATTTCATTTTGTGTGCACTAGCCCATACCTGCCAACTTTCACTCTTTCCGAGAATGGATTTTCAAAGTGGTTGTAAAACAATAAACGAAAAACAATCTGACTCAAAAATATATTTACATTTTGATACCGTTGAAATTCGCTTGCGCAAGGATTATTATGCTTTCCTATATTTATTGTAATTATTAATATGTAGTGGTGGTCAAACTCATTTATAATTATCATTATAATTCAAAAAGTTAATTGGAATAACCTGAGTATTGCTACTACTTTAAATATGAAAACAAAATCTTCCGGAAAATCCGGAAGAGTTGGCAGGTATGCACTAGCCCCATTTTTATTCTAACTCCGCTGTCAACTACAATACGTGACAATTGCTAAAATTTAAACTTTTTTCTTTATTTTCAAGCTGACTATAACCTTTGCATACCTGCCAACTTTTGATTTCTTCCATTATGATATTTCCCTGTGGTAGTAAAATGGAATTAAAATTTCAATTATAAGCAAAAAAATACGTTGTATTTGAAAATTATTTAGCTGGCAACCATGATAGTAACATATGTTAATGTATATGCTTAATTTTTTTAAGAATAGTGGTGATCATTTAAAAAATAAGTTTATAAAAGAAAAAAATAGTATATATTTACTACCACTTTAAATACAAAAATAAAATTTTAAGCCAAATGCGTATAAGTTGGCAGGTACGCATTTGCTAGTGAATAATACTCTGAGGAATTATGGATTGGTTTTTAAAGGCTTCATGCATATGTTGAGAGAACAAATGCGACTAGAATTTAAAAACGGTGTTTTTACAATATAAGATGGAAAAAGTAATTTTTTGTTCAATACTTTTTCGAATAAAGTATGTTAAACATAATTCTGTAGAGGAAAATAAAATAAAATTATGAAAGATAATTTTTTTACACTAGTTTTCAATATAAATCCACAATAAAATATTTTAATAAAAATCCCGTAAATACAAGCATAAAATTTTTTTTTAAATTCTTCTGACTTACCTTTTGATGAAACTTCTTGCATGACCGAAAACTTTCTAAATTCTAAACTACTACTCCAACTCAGTGAAAAAAGGAAAACATTTGCTTTTGATTGTTTTATTAACATTTACTTTTTGAAAACATAAGCGATGCCAAAACAAAATTATAATGTTAATTAAAATGTCAGAGCTGCATAATTTTACCCTAATTTTTCTACAAGTTCTTGTTCTCATTTGTTATTCTGGTATTTTACCCTTACCACCAAAATTGGCGAATGGAGCTGCAAATGGCCATCTTACGTAAGTTGAAGACTTGAGATATGCTTGCAATTCTGGAAGGTTTCTAATGCGCTCGATGTAAGCTTTTAAAGTAGGGAATTCATCTAAAACGGTCTTACAAAGCAGAACATTGTAATCAAATGTATCATAAGCCATGAAATCTACGTATGATAAGCTGTCTCCCGCTAAGAACTTCCTATCTCCAAGAAAAGCTGCAATAAACTTCAATGAATGTGGTACTTTTGACAGATACTCTTTTTTAGCTTCTTCATAGTTTGGACCATATACAACTTTATAAAAAGCAGTACGAAAATCAATAATCTGTTGCTCAGCCAATGAAACTCGGAGTTTTTCTTCTTCTGTTTTTCCACCAAAATCATATTTTTTGGCTAAGTACCTCAAAATGGTAACGCTTTGGGTTAACTTCACTTTATCATCAAAGTAATAAGGTAAATTTGGAAAATCTAGTCCGAGAGTAAACTTTTCCTTTTCCCAAACATCTCTTTCCTCAAGTTGGTATCTCTTATCTTCAAACGGCACATTTTTGTAATGTAACAGGTACCTAATAGGTTCAGCAAGACCGCGAACATCCCAGTAACCTACAACTATTTTACCCATGCTAAAAAAACAAATTTAACAAATCTTAGAAACCTTGAGGAAGATTTAAAAATGCTGAGCGTCTTTCAAACTGTTTATTCACTTTTATAACAAAATTAATGACTTATCTAATCTGTTGAACAATTTCTGTTCTTCCGTTTCGGGGGAGTAACTTTTGATAGCATTTGTTTCTAAGGTGACTTTCAGAATCTTTATCTGAGGAATATTATGTTTGATTGTTTGATAAAACTATCTTGCGAATAAGAAAACGAAGAATTTTTGTGCTACTTTCATACACTAATGCCTTGTTTACACAAAGCGGCTGGTTTAACTGAAGTGTACTTATCTCTCTGAACGACTCCAGTGAAGGAAATATTTAAACCTGACGTCACAATTACGCTCAATCAGCTGATAAGTGCCAATTGAGTGTAAGCACGTGCCTGGGATGTATATGAGTCAAGTTTTCTGTAAATCTTCATAAACTAAAAATGATATATTTTTTTCTTTTTTCTTCGATTAACTTGATTTTTATTATAGAGAGTTAAAAAAATACCATCAGCTATAGTCAATGTACTATAAACATACGTGCCAACTCTCCCTTATTTTGTGGGAGATTTTATTTTCATATTTAAAGTGGTAATAAATATATACTATTTTTTCTTTTATAAATTTAATTTTTAAATGATTTTGACCACCAATATTCTTACAAAAATTAAGCTTATATATTAATATGCGTTACTATCATGGTTGTCAACTTAATTTTTTTCAAATACAACGTATTTGTTTGCTTAAAATTGAAGTTTTAATTCCATTTTAATACCACTGGGAAAAATGATAACGGAAGGGATTAAAAGTTGGCAGGTCTGTAAAAATAACCCATAGTATAGTACCCACAGGGCAGAAAGCCCATATATATATCAAGACAGAAAAGTGTAAAAACTGGTAACAAATAAAAATCATTTTTTAGCTTATTTTCAGGCATAATAAAAATACATAACTACCAATTCTTTTTACCGAATACAATTTTTATATTGAATTGCTTCTTTGCCGAGAAAAAACTTATTACAGTGAACTGTTTTTTGTTCAGAATAGATTAACTCCTCCCGAAAATTATCTAATATTGAAATAGTTCTTCTACCAGTATTTTCTCTTTTCCGTCTCGCTTTCAGGCCAGAGTACAAAACACAGCAAATTTATTACTTTTTTTTGAAAAAAAAAAAAAACGACTACAGTAATTTTGGAAGTAACTATAGTTCAGAAAATTTTTCTTCTTTGATTTTATTTTTGCATTGTTTTAGCATTTTATTGCCGCAAGTAGAAACTGATTTACAGAAAGCAACACTCCGAAATCCTGCTAAACACATTGCCGCAAATGACGCAAGACTTGCATTGCCGCTATACTCCTAAAAAGAACACATTTTAATAGGCTGAAGGAAAGTTAAGATGAAGTAAGCATGACTATCTTTTGCATTATTTTAGCAAAATTTGCATTATTTATTCAAAAGTTATATGGATGATCCGTTTCTATTTTTGCTGACTGTACCTATTAAATGATGAGTACTTCATAGTTGTAGCATTAATCACGTTTTTAATTCACTCTCAGTAGTCTCGTTTTACGCTTTTAAGGCAGAAACCGTTTTTTGAACAGTTAACTTGGATCCTAATTGCTTATTCCTCTATATTTCTGAAAGACAAGCAAAATATAAGCCTTTCTAATTAGTTCTTGAATTAATAAATGTCAGCGAAATGATTTTAAATAAATTACAGTTAAGCTAATTTGACTAACACTATACGCAAAAAATAATATATTCATGTGAGGTCGTGTTTAAGCTCTGACAAAAAAAATTAAATTTGACCTAAATATTATAATATTTAGTCTAAATACTAAACAAATTTAGTCTAAATATTGCAAATCAAATGACCATCTTAACCCTTTGACACAGATGGGATCCAGATGTTTCTTTCATATGTTCTTTTCTGACTCTCCAATTACAAGAAAAACATATGTTGATATTTCTTAATTATAAAAAAAGTCTAATGGATANACTATAAGGTTAGGTACAGTTTAACACATTCAGTCAGAGAAAAGTGAAAATACTGGTACGGGAAAAGAGAAAATACTGGTAGAAGAACTATTTCAATAATAGATAATATTCGAGAGGAGTTAATTTATTCTCAACAATAACAATTTACTGTAAGGAAATTTATCACGGCGAAGAAGCAATTCAATATCAGAATTGCATCTGTTGAAAACAATTGGTAGTTATGGATTTTATTATTCCCGAAAAAAAACTAAAAAATTAAATTTATTTGTTACTAGTTTTTACTCCGGTGCGCTGCCAAGATGAGATAATCTAGCGTGACCCACCGGTGGGTCACCCCGGCGTGAAAGTGTTAAACATAATTCTGTCCAGGAAAATAAAATAAAATAAAGAAAAATAAATTTTCTTTACGCTAGTTTTCTGTATAAATCTACAATAAAATATTTTAATACAAATCCCGTAAATACAAGCATAAAAATTTTTTAAATTCTTTTGACTTACCTTTTGATGAAACTTCTTGCATGACCAGAAACTTTCTAAATTCTAAACTACTACTCCAACTCAGTGAAAAAAGGAAAACATTTGCTTTTGATTGTTTTATTAACATTTACTTTTGAAAACATAAGCGATGCCAAAACAAAATTATAATGTTTATTAAAATGTCAAAGCTGCATAATTTTACCCTAATTTTTCTACAAGTTCTTGTTCTCATTTGTTATTCTGGTATTTTACCCTTACCACCAAAATTGGCGAATGGAGCTGCAAATGGCCATCTTACGTAAGTTGAAGACTTGAGATATGCTTGCAATTCTGGAAGGTTTCTAATGCGCTCGATGTAGGCTTTTAAAGTAGGGAATTCATCTAAAACGGTCTTACAAAGCAGAACATTGTAATCAAAAGTATCATAAGCCATGAAATCTACGTATGATAAGTTGTCTCCCCCTAAGAACTTCCTGTCTCCAAGAAAAGCTGCAATAAACTTCAATGAATGTGGTACTTTTGACAGATACTCTTTTTTAGCTTCTTCATAGTTTGGACCATATACAACTTTATAAAAAGCAGTACGAAAATCAATAATCTGTTGCTCAGCCAATGAAACTCGGAGTTTTTCTTCTTCTGTTTTTCCACCAAAATCGTATTTTTTGGCTAAGTACCTCAAAATGGTAACACTTTGGGTTAACTTCACTTTATCATCAAAGTAATAAGGTAAATTTGGAAAATCTAGTCCAAGAGTAAACTTTTCCTTTTCCCAAACATCTCTTTCCTCAAGTTGATATCTCTTATCCTCAAACGGCACATTTTTGTAATGTAACAGGTACCTAATAGGTTCAGCAAGACCGCGAACATCCCAGTAACCTACAACTGTTTTACCCATGTTAAAAAAAGAAATTTAACAAATGTTAGAAACCTTGAGGAAGCTTAAAAAATGCTGAGCGTCCTTTAAACTATTTATTCACTTTTATAACAAAATTAATGACTTATCTAATCTATTGAACAATTTCTGTTCTTCCGTTTTGGGGGAGTAGCATGTGATAGCATTTGTTTCTAAGGTGACTTTCAGAATCCTTATCTGAGGAATATTATGTTTGATTGTTTGATAAAACTATCTTGCGAATAAGAAAAAGAAGAAATTTTGTGCTACTTTCATACACTAATACCTTTGTTTACACAAAGCGGCTGGTTTAACTAAAATATACTTATCTCTCTGAACGACTCCAGTGAAGGAAATATTTGAGCCTGACGTCACAATTACGCTCAATTAGCTGATAAGTACCAATGGAGTGTAAGCACGTTTCTGGGATGTATATGATTCAAGTTTTTTGCAAATCTTCATAAACTAAGAACGATATATTTTTTTTATTCTTCTTCGATTAACTTGATTTTTATTATAGAGAGAACAAAAAATACCATCAGCTATAGTCAATGTATTATAGATAACCCATTGTATAGTATCCAACACTGTAAGTTTTTTTTTGTCGAAGGAAAGAGAATAAAGAAATTTCAGTAACTATGTATTAACTATGTAAGGAAATTTTGGTAACTATTAAAATTAGTAACTACAGTTCGGTAAAAGTTTTATTTATTTATTTTTTTGCATTTACTTTTGCATTATTTTATCATTTTATTGCCACGTTTGCGTTACATGGAGAGAAGAACCACTAAAACCTCCCACGGTTAACCTGACGACAAGGGCACCTATTATCCGTCTACCACAGAGGATATTTTGCGTCAGCGCTGTGGTCGTTGCAAACCGGGTGCGGAATTCATATTGACCAGCCATCGCTGGGATTCGAACCCAGTTCACGTCATATGAAGGCGATTGCTCTATCCATTGATCCACCACGGCTCTGTTCACTGAAATTTTATTTTATTTTATAACCGTCGTTGAACAGCCGACCCAATTTCATGGGTTTACGACTACTAATGTTCAACTCCGTAGCCTTGTAATTTTGAACCAATCCAGAAGACAAGGAAACTCCTGGATCAGTACCCCCAGAGGTGTTGATTTGTTATGGGAACATGGAGGACTTTGAGACTCGACAGATTTAACGTGCATCAGTCACCATTTACTACACGGGAAGTCTTCGGCCGACGAGGATCGAACCCACGACCTTTTGGATATGGGCCCAGCGCCCTACCGACCAGGCTATCCCGGCCTGTTCACTGAAATTGAATTTTTTCTTTAAAAAAATTAATGCCAAAATTATTCCATAAAAAGGTTTTTTTATGTTATTATAAATGATGATTGAACACTCGCCTACTCTCTTGTGTACGCTTTCCCCTTTTTTGAGGAAAATGAGGTTGATCTGGGGGGAGAAGTGAATTTTATTTAATTGAAGCCTTGCTTCCTTCATTAAACTGATATTTTTCATTAAACTGATATCGAGACGATCAGACGAATAGTTAGAAAGTAGGGAAGGTTTTATGTACAAAAATTACAATTTTGCACCTAAGCATCGTTTCCTATGTTTTTCTAAGCAGAATCAAATAAAACCATAATCTGTAATCAAGTCAATCAAACAAATGGTTAAAATTTTATAAGGTTTTTTTAAACCTAAAACGTGCTTATTTTGACAAGAAGTAATCTACAGTGGGCCAAGAGAAAGGACCACTTTTATAACTTTTGCACGTTTTGTCGGATTTTCCTTCTGTGAAATGTTATGGTAATATCTCAATAGAATCTGAATGCCATGGGGGTCACCGGCGACTGGCACTGAGTTTGTTCGTAGATCCACGGGGGTCACCGGTGACCGGCGAAGCCA